TGGGGAATTCTGGGAGTTGAAGTCCACACAGCTTAAAGCGGCCAAGGTTGAGAAACACCGCTCTAAAATATCTAAAGGCTGTCACATGCAAAAGAGAGGCAGGCCTGTTTACTGTTGAAATCAAAAGCAGGACAAGGAGCAACACATTGAAATTAAAAGAAAGGACACTCAGGCTGAATATTAGGAGGGATTTCCTGGTTAAGCAATGGAACTGTCTATGCACAACAGGGATCAACTCCCCTTGCTGTGGGTTTTTAAATGCAACTGGATGGCATTTGTCAAGGATTGTCTAGTAGATTCCCGCATAGAGTATAAGGTTGGACTACATCCCCTATAAAATCCAATCCAACTCATATATTCTAGGATTGTATATCAGAGCAGTTGTGCTATGAGAATCTTTGTAAACTTTTCCCCTGTGCTATTTTTCCAATATTAATTCCTCCCCCAAGATGCTCATTATCTGTGGGGAAAAAAGCTATGCTTCTTTAATAAAGAAATCTTTTAAAGAAAAGAATGGTGACTTTTGGCAGCCATACACAAATCTTCCTGGATTTCAAGGACTGAATTGTACTAGAACTTTTTGACTGGTTTCTTGCTGAATCAAAAACTACAAATGTATACTTTGCTCTTGCCTTGGCTAGCAGAACTAGTGTTAAATTAATGCAACAGCAATTCATTCCTTTTTCCCTGTGGGCTGCATGAAAGAAGCAGAAGAATAATTAATCCTGTCATCCTGGAAAGAAATAATTTGGTAAAGCAGCAGCTCCTTCTGGATGGATCTTTTAATATTCATTGTGCATACTTCATTATGGTAATATGACAAGGCACTAGAGATATATATATAGAATCCTCCAGCCAACACCAGGGCGATATAAAGCCTGTCTTCATTACTGATATATTGGTATGGCAATGGCTGGAGAATGCTATAGGATGCAACAAATCATTAGTGTGGAAATGGCAAACATCATTAGTCCACATTTTTGCCCTTAACCAAGACAATCCATTTAAGCACAACAGCCCAAACCGAAGCTACATACATACATACTGTAGTACAGTACTATAATTCTGAGGTACATGAACTCACCTCCTCCTTCCCTTGCCCACTCCTCTAAACATCTAAGTGGTGAAGATAGGCACAGATGTTTTATACATCAGTGCATGCATTCTCAATTAGAGGATTCTGGGTTTCACTGTTACATGTACACTGTAATATGGGGTAGTATAAAACTATAGAAAATAACAAAATCCTTGCTCTCTACAAATTAATCTACTTCAGCTGATTTTGTGCATGCAGTTCTTATAGCACTTGTGACACTTCTCCATTTGAGACTGGTGCACAATCTGAGGATTATCTTGGACTTGCAACTCCATCTCAAAGAGCAGGTGGCAGCTGTAGTCAAGAGGGCCTCCACGTAGGTTCATCTAGTGTACCAGTTGTGCCTTTTCCTGGATTAGGAAGTTTCAGACAGTTACTCATGCTCTAGTCACCTCATAAATACACTATTGCAACGTGCTCTACATGGGGCTGCCCTTGAAGACCAGTCTGAAGCTACAACTAGTCCAGAATGTGGTGATGCAGGTAGTAAGGGACATGCCTTGGTACAGCCATGTGACAGCACTACTCCATGAAATGCATTGATCATCAGTCAGCTTCTGAGTGCAATTCAAGATGTTGGTTACCAACTATTAAACCCTTCGTGGCATAGGGCTTGGTTATTTGAGAAACCACCCATCTCCAATAGTTTCTGCCTTTCCAGTAAGGTCAGGCAGAGTGGGCATGTTTCAGGTCCCTTCAATTGAACAATGTCATCTATTGGGACCTAGGATATATGCCCTCTCTGTCGCGGTGCGTGCCCTCTGGAACAGCATCTCCCCAGAGATGTGTGATGTTCAGGTCACTGAAAACCTGGCTATTCTCCTAGGCCTTGGGGTACGATGGTTGTTGAGATATGTAAATGATCAGCGATGGGGATCATTTCTCATGAGTATCAGAACTCGCCTTGTCTGGAAGACACCAGTTTTAGAGATTTAAACGTGTGTTGTTGGCGTTCCCCGCCCTGGTATGAAAAGATCATTTTACAGATTTAATGTTGAAAATATTACTCCAAGTTCCTGCAAACTTTCGGCAACCTCATTTTTTGCCTCTATTTTCCTATGAGCAATTTCAAAATTGCTCCCTTCGTTTTCCTTGTAGCATTCTGAGTCTCCACTAAACCCTAATTTTATTTGTTTATTTATTTATATTTCAAATCCAGTCACCGCCCATCTCACTCAAGGAGCGACTCTGGGCAGTTTACAATAAAACAATAGAAGAGAGTATGTGTAGCTTAGGGTTGAACTGTGGAGTCCTTGGGGTTCTCTGAGCTTGGTTGTTTTCTTGCAAACGTTTGCAAGAAAACA